ATCTATCTATCTATCTATCTATCTATCTATCTATCTATCTATCATCTATCTATCATCTATCTATCTATCATCTATCTATCTATCATCTATCTACCTCTCTCTCTCTCTCTCTCTCTCTCTCTAAAATAATACCCTGGACTAGACATACTATGTATTTCCAAAGGATATAGCTAGGGCTAAAGAATTCAAGCATAGGAATACAGTTCTTAATTATATATGAGAAAGAAGTTTTTAACAAGTATCTTAAGTAACTAAATATGATGCTTTTATAGGGTGATGAACTCATCATCATTGAGTAGCCCTAAGTCCCCTGGATATTTGGACTACATGAGATTTAAGGTGTCTTTTAGTACAAAAATTATGTGATCTGACAAATCGCTTGATCTCTTCATACCTTAAGTTTTATATCTATAAAATAAGATAATGGAATGAGACCCTTTTCTAATAAGAAACTTTTTCTTCTGGTATTTCATGATTTTTCTTTATGATTTTAAAACCAAATTCACATTTAAAATCCTTATTTTATATCATTTCTTCTCATGCTATGACTCTGTGCCATAACTGTTTGGGAAATATTCATTTATTAAAAGGGATGTTTTTAAGGCACTTTGCCTGCTCCATGTATTCTTGTAAGCATCAGAGCCATTGAAGTCACCTCAAGTTAGAATCACCTGCCCTGCCCTAGCCGATTTGGCTCAGTGGTTAGAGCATTGGCCCCAGGATTGAAGGGTCCTGGGTTCAATTCCAGCCAAGGGCACGTATCTCAGTTGCAGCCTCGATCCCTGGCCCTGGTCAGGGCTCATGCAGGAGGCAAACAATCCATGTGTCTCTCTCACATCTATGTTTGTCTCTCTCTCTCTCTCCCTCTCTCTCCCCGCCCCTCTCTCTGAAAACCAATGAAAAAATGCCTCAGGTGAGGATTTAGCAAACAAACCAAAAAACACCTGCCATGATGAGGTTATATTACTGGGGCAGGAATGGGGACACGAATGAACAAGGCACTTAAGTAAAATACAGTGTATGGTAAATATAGTGAGTGCTAAAGAGACTAATTAAGCCACATTATTAAATACAGCATTTTAAAAAGTCTTTATCAAAGAGGTAAATTATATTTTTAGACTATTATATGTAAGATAATTCTATTTCTTTCACTTTTAACTTAGGAAAATTCAGAAATTAATAAAAACCATACATTAATACCTAGTTTTATATATTGTTATATAGTAAACTCCTTCCCTATTTGCCTTTCATGGCACTTTCAGTAGATATAGAAGACCCCTTATGGTCTGACTTATGTATCTGGTGCACATTTTATTACCCCTTCAATATTTATGGACTCAATTTACTTTATTATTTATTTTCCATAGAAAAGTAAATATTTGCCTTGCTTTGAGTTAACCATGATTAAGCAAGTGATTTTTTTCCTGTTAGTAATACCATTATTGGATACCTTGTCTTCCAGTGTGTAAGCTTGAAAGCATTGATTATAATGTTCTAACATATAGAGCAAACTTTAGGATTGTAAACATATAGTTCAGTATTTTGTCATTAAATTATTTCTATAGTTATTGAAGAAATACATGTATGCTATTCTTCTCCTTGGCTCTATTAATTCATGTATATGCCAACAGAACAAATAGAATAAATAGCTTCATTTTGATGTATCTGACTGAACTGCATCCCAAGAGTGCGATGAATTTTACTTCGTTTATGAAATATATAGCAAATCATCCTACCTTTTTTTTATTCGTAGAGAATTCACATTTCTAAGTATTCTGGATGCAAAAAATATTTCAAAATTATAAGGCTTCATGCTCTCCAGCCTTACAAGCTCCTCTTTTATGGGAGAGAAACAGTTCAAAGTAAAGTGGTGGGTATGACAGGGAGATATGCCACTTAGGAAAATGGAAAAATTGGTTATTTATAATGATAACTATAAAGAGAAAAGATAAAATTCTTAATTACATTGAACCAAAGAACATTTAGTGAACAGGTTTAGCTTTTTTTTTAATGTTAAACAACCCCTAGGGATGTTATTCGTGTAAGAATCTCACTCTTCAACCCGATGGTGTTATGACAATTGTCATCAAATATGCAAGGAGGAAGTCAAAAATGATTTGCTTTTTAAGAAAGTTGTTG